GTCTGAGTAATTCATTCAGACCTGCAAGGGTACCAAACCTGCTTGATTTTTGGCAGCAGCGTCCAAGCGGTATGGGGAGGCGGCAGAACGAGGGCCTGGCAGACCCGCACGAAGGTTCATGTGCATGACCAAAAGCGGAAGCTTTTGGCTCATAAGTCAGACTCCAGTTAGACTGTTTGCAAGGCTTGGCATTGGCTTCAGCAAAGCTTCAGTTGATGAATGCATGCTTCTACGAAGCGGCCCAGTATTCCCGAGACGTAGCCAACCAGCTACTTGAGTAGAGCAATGGATGCCGCCAAGACCTTCTTGGATGGCACCGTCGAGCGTGCAGATTTGAACCAGTAACTTTGGCAGCATTGTGTCATGCGCCTAACGCTGCAGAGGCGCCGTGCGAAGCCTGGCATTTGAGGTACTGGTTCTCTCAGCCCACCTTGTCCACGTTCGTGGAAGAATGCGACGTCCACGGCAGTTCCGCCTTGGTCTCGTCGCCCAGTGTGTATTTCAGCCTGCCCGAGGAGAGGCTCCCCTTGCTTTTTGGCGTACTGCAGCTTCGCGTGCTCTGACCGGCAGGAACGCCGCCGCAACTGCAAAGTCTTCGACTTCGACCGGCAGTGGGATTCAGATCCAGGCGCCATGACATGCTTGCCCAGCCACATTCACCTGTCACGCTGCGAGCTTGGAAACATTTCCACCAGGATTTGTTTTCTATGACTTCCACCAGCCAGAGGATCTGCCGGAGGCAGCGGGCGCATTTTCAGTGGCTCTTCTTCTCTCGTCCTGCTCTGATGCCAGGCGCTGCGAGGTGCCTTCAGCTTTGTCCTCATCGATCCACCGTTCATCACGCGTGAGGCGCTGCCTGTCAGTAAGCTTAGCTCGCTTATGCTCATGGAGCGGAATCCCCTGCAAATTCGAGACGAGGATGTCCCTCAAGATCGTAGACGTGTCTGATCCCATTCTGCTGGGCAGGTCTGGGAGAAATATGCCATCACAGCGCGCTCTTTGGCTTGATGCTTGTCTTTGTTGCATTAAGCTCCGTTGGCATGTTTTGCTGCAGGCTTTTTGGCCTGCGAGGGTGCTCGAATTCTTTGCACCACCATAGCTGAAAATGCCCAGCTGATGGCAGAGCTGCTGGACCTGCATCCGGCTGCCCGGCTCGATCAACTGCTTGTTGTTCCGCGGTTTGGTTTGTTCGGCTAGTGCTGATTTGGGAATGATCCTCTCTGCGGACCGGCAAATCGACATTTGAATCACTTACTGCTCGCAGGTGCTGTATCGCCCAGGGATACCGAACTTGGTGTACCAGTGCTCGGCGAGAGTCAGCAGAGTGCATTCTAGAATCATCTTGAATTCGAAGTGTGAGCCTTCGAGCCTTCATGTCACAGCCTTCTGTGCCGGCAGGTACAGCATCTATGTGAACTACGAGTCTGACAGGCTGAATGAGTTGAATCCTGAGATCGACCAGGAAAACTGGCAGGCTGGTGGCCTTTGAGATGTTGGGTGCAAGTACTGTAGCTTCGCCACTCTTCTCTCTCTCTCTCTTCTCTCGTCTTCTCTCTTCACACGTGGGCGAGGCGACTGCCCAGAGTGTGCTTTGTGGGCAGCTCGATGAGAAGCTCGAGGCCCCGCTCCTTTCCCGAGCGGGGCAAAAAAGCGCCGGGGAGGGGGAGGGAGCCGGTGCTACCCCGGCTGGTTACCTGGCGACCGAAAGCTTCGCCCCAGAGGCACAGAGCGCAACGGCGTAGCGGCATAGCAGTGCTTTGGCCAGCTTTTGTAGCGCCTTGGGGAGGTGCCAGTGGAGGATGTGGCAGAGGTTCAGCTGCTGCTTCAGTTACGAAAGCACCTCATGGGAGTCAAGCGGGCCATCGAGGTGAGGATGCAAATGAGCTGTGTGCAATCTAGTCGTGCTACGTGCTCGGTGCAGGGCCTACAGGCACCTCTTCTGATGGCTCAACGCAGAACTGCAATGGGAGGATTGGCTGCGAGTGCCGCAGCTGACAAGGCTTCAGCTTCGCACACCACTCGAACTTGGCAGCGAGTGTAAACGCGCGCGAAAGGCGGATGCTGCCAAAGATGCAGCAGGAGCTGCCTTGGACCAAATGGAAGCCTTCTTGCGTGAACACATCTCGGAGGCCTCGGTTTGGTCTCTCAGCGTCCTGTGCTGTTCTTCGCCAGAGCGCCAGATCCTCTTCGCCTTGGGCGAGGGCTCGGCCGCCTCGGCCGCCTCGGCCGGCGACGATCGCTGGCACTCGCCACTTGGCTCAACCTTAGCATCTCCCTGTCACAGCATCTGGTGCTTTGGCTTTGGGCCAAGGCGCTCCGCCCGGGCCCTCCTTGAGTGCCAGGGCCAGGGCGGCACGCAAGGCCAAGGCGGCGCGGTCCTAGATGAGATGCGCCGACTCTCGGCGGCCTTCTTCGGCCAAAGCCGCCAGGCACGCTTGTTGCACTGCGATGCCTCAGTCTCGCCAGAGCAGAGCGCAATTAGCGCGCCATCCTGCAATTCTGTCAGCGAATGCGTGGTCTTGCAGGTGCTGGATCGAATCAAAATCCTGAGAGCGCAAGCAAGGGGTGAACCAACCCAACCGTCGCTTGTGGCAAAAAGGCACAGTCTTTGCCCTGTCTTGCGGCGTATTTGTGTGGAGGACACATTCCGACAAGGAGTTTAGCTGGTGCGGAACAGGCGTAAGCGGGCTTGTGTGTGCCGTGATGTGATTTCTACAGTAGCAAATCTAGCGACGTTGTACACAAAGGACTGTATTCAAGGCTCACTTGAACAACATGATCCGTTTTGGAAGCCGAGTGGCTCTTGCGGACATACTGCAGCTGTGCAAACGAGTGATCGCAGGAGAAATTCCAGGCCTCCAACAAAGACAAGCGAACCTACATGCATGCGGTGGGAGCTGGAGCTACCGGTGAAGTCTTCGTGGGTTGGCATGCTGGTTTCGTTCATGAGGTGGCAACGAAGATTGCTTTCAAAGCCGAGGATGCTGAACTGGAAGTGCTATGCTGAGTGCTGCTGGGCTCCACCGCAACGTCGTTCACCTGTTGAGGTTGGAATGCGGAGTGTTTCAAACCAGTGCTGTTCATGGAATGCTTGGGCCCAAACTTGATGACCCTTTTGGAAACAGAGGCCTCCAACTCGCGAGCTTTGTTTCAAGTGGTGGATTCCGTTTTGCGAGGGCTCCAACATTTGCATCATCGCTTGCTGGCGCACTTGGACGTCCGACCGCACAACTTATGCAGCAAACATATATCCCGCCCTGGCGCATCGACACTGTGCCTCCTAGACGTTGATGCTGCGTGTCAGCTTGAACGGCCAACGGACACCGCTCCACCTTTTTCCTGAATTTGCAAAATACCATTTCGCCCGAGGTGTTGCAAGGCAGTTGTTTCAACCCCTTCCTTCACAATGTCTACTGTTTGGGAAAAACTTGCGAGGAGGTGCGGCTCAAGTTTCCGAGGCGGATCCAGTGCCCTTTGCCGTCGATGTTATAATCGGGATGCTCCTTCTGCCATGCGACAACGCTCCTGATGTGAGCGCTATGCAAGAAGTTCGGAGTCACATCCTATCCACCTCGTGTGTTCACTTGTGAAAATCTCATCGCTTCGCAGTAGACTTGAGCTCAACACCTGTAAGCCAAAGATAATGCTCATTTTGCGCGTGTGTGCTAGATGCAAGATTGCACGGCTGTGCTACTCTCGCGCAAAGAGTTGGGCGACAATCCTTATGATGTCCAGACCTGTACGTGCTGACTGCCCTTTACAACGAGTAACTACCAGCCTCTTGGGTGGCTCGTGGGTTCTTCATCTTCTATATGGCATGCATGCAAAACCACCAAAACTCCTGAAAACAGAAACCCAACCCAACACTGAGGCCTGGTTTTGATTAAGCACTTCAACAAAGCACATAATCTACAACACTTTTAGGATTTTTGTCTGCACAAATTCACCGAAACTCACGAACAGCAAGCAAGATACACAAGAACAGATTGGACAATTCAGCTGTGGAAATTTCTTGCGTCAATATTTGCATACTGGAAACGGCGAAATCATTGTAATAGTTTTGTTATGGGGAGTACGGACATCGTTTGAGAATCTATCATTACTTCTGATGGTGATCTAGGCTGTTTATTGCTTTTCTTGGTCGTTTTTCCACTGTAGACACAGGCACGCTGGATAATATCTAATTTAGGTTCAGTATGGAAGTTTGTTTCCGTCACGACACATATGTTTATTGTCGTACGTTGTCTAAAAGCTTCTATCGGATACGATTACTGTGTTGTTCCGTAATTTGTTGTACAAGGTTTCTATATGATCGCGACCATCCCACAAGTTTCTATAGCAACTTTTTGATTGTAACCGGTAATATCGCCATGCTGTAAAGGGTTCGCAACTTTACCGGGTTGAACCTCGCACTACACAAATGTGTGTCTGTGTATGTCTCTTTCACTCTCGCGCTCTCCATAGCGTTTTGTGTTATACATGTGTTTGTCTTCAGTTGCGTCAGCCTTATGTTTATGTTGATTCGTGCCGGAACGGCAGACATGACTTCGTAGTTCTTCGGACACACATTTTCGCATGTTTTACATGTTGAACTTGCAGATGGTCTTGTGGCAATTTGGGTAATCGCAACCTGTACAACATCACATTTCGTGAACTTAGCCTTGCTTGCCAGTGTTTTTTCCAACCCAGGCCCTCCCCAAAGGCACATCGCCGTTGACAGTCCCTGTGCTCAAGCCGGGATTCTTCACAGGTGAAGCGTGGAAACATATTGCCACGGTCTTTGCCTGCCCTGACATTGCCAGCAATCCTGGATCTTTGCAAGCTTCAAGCAGTCTAGGCCCAGGTCTTAACACACAGCAGGCTTCTGCGATGCCGAAGGCTGCAGTACACCCCACTGGTCCCGCAGCCCAGTCGTGACAATGCCGGCTTCTCTCGTTATGCGACGTCCCACCATGATGCCAAGGCTCAAACTTCCGGCGGGCTGCGAAGCTTGATGCCTGCACCCCGAAATGCCCGATACATCTCGTGATGCATGTCGGTTTCGCAATGCCGTGCTTATTGGCAGACTACTCCAGAAGGCAGGTGCTGGTAGGACGACTCCGAAGCCTTCGCTTCAGGTCGTATCGCGGGTGCGAATGCTCAACCAGATGGGGCTTCTCAAGGACTTTTGGTGCTCTTGGGGATCGACGGCTGCACTTCGTGGCTCCACTGAGCGCCAGGAGCGACCCAGGTGGTTGGAGTGGTCCGCATCTTCAGAGATTCTGCTCAAGCCATGCTTGTTCGCCTTGTTTGGTTGTTTCCTTCGAGGTGCCAGCGTGTTCCTCCAATGGAGAACCACAACTTGCACCTGCAGGCCTCGCGCCTATGTGAGTCTCACTTCCAAGCCTATTTATTGATCGAACCTCATCTGCGATGTGCTCCGGTACTCTGCCAGGCGCGAACGATCCGCAATCCGTACCCACAGATGGCGTCTCGATCGGTTGTCTTTCTTTTTTTGTGGCAGCGTCTTGTTGGCAAGCTTAGCTTGGACTCATGGAGGCAGTAGAAGCCAAGGTTGATTTTCTCCTGAAGAAGTATCCGGACCTCCGGTTCCAGGAACTCCATTTTGAACTCATGAAATCAACGCAAGCTCTGAGTCGAGTAATCATTTCCGGCGGAGGATTGCTACGTTGATGGGAACGATTGGTCGGCCGGGAACGATGCATACAGAGACGATCATCCGGTGATGCAGGCGCATAGTTCGGGCCCTTTAAGGAAAGAGGTGCTGAGTGTTGTCACGAACCGGCCGCCTTCAGTTCGTGGCCCAGCAGCTGAAGCTCATGCGGGAAGAAGGCTTGACAAAGCGCGAGGCCTCCTTCTGCATGTTCAGCTACTCGTGTCGTCCTAATGTGTCAATTTTCCTGGCCAGGCCTTCAAGCGAACAGAAGACATCTTTCGAGAGAGGCCGCCAACTTCTACAGTAGGATTGCCCAAAGACCTGGAATGGGCAACGTGATTGCTTCCAGGCGAGAGTCTCTTGAACGAGAGCAGAAAGTAATGATGGCAATGGCCATACGAGAAGTCGGGGCCTTGTGAATTGGAATGACGACAGATGCCGACACCGAGCCTGTGCGATGTGGATGGAATGCCCCATGTCTGAGGGCTTCAAGCCCATGTTCAGCACAGGGCGTGCTTACCTGGAGGTGCTTAGTGCAAATGCAAGGCTTAGAGTCCTAACACGTTCCTCGGGGAAGTAGGAGTGTCGCTGCTAGGTGGAGAAGGCGCGAATCGAAAGTGGGCACCTGACCAGAATCATAAGCCCCTCGGCCGCCTCTGACATGCACATCGAATTCAGCCGTGATGCTGTGAAGCAGGTGCACTTCGCAAGCAGAGAGCGTCGGCAGAGGAAACACGAGACTCCGAGGATTCTGCAGCTTCTTCAGTTTGGCCTGTAATTACGGACTTTCGTGGCACGAATTCGGGTGCCGTAATTTCCACCATCATCCGCTCTTCGCGTTGAACCTGGCTGTAATGATTCTGCCTTTTGACGCAGCTTTCCGTCCAGTCTCGCTGGACTTGGCAGTTCGGAGTCGGGAACCTGCCTCGAGAGGCCGCGCAGGAGGCGGTGACAAGGAGGGAATTGAAGCAAGCAGTGGAAGAGGTCCTCAGATGCGCAGAGCTCCGCAGAGGCCCTCAGCTCAGGGCAGAGTGGAGCCTGGCAGGCTGCGCAGATGGCCAGGCAAGATGCCGCAAAGAAAAAGGAGCGGGAGGCGCGCCCTTTCACGGGGAGAGTGCAGTTCCCGTTGCGGGTGACTGAAGCTGGCAGGAACAAATCAGGCAAGACGAGGCGAAGGTTCAGGAGCCCGCACTTTCTTTTCCAGCAGTCAAGACTAGAACATAGATGCATCAAGAGATTCATTTGATGTCTCCAGGAAACGCTGCAACAGCTGCAGGCGGCCCAGGAATCCCAGGAACCCAAGGAATCCCAGGCCAGGCGTTCGTCGTGCGATGTCGTGGGGTCCTTGCCGTCGTCCGGAGCTGGGCGGAGCCGCAGGCGCCCTTCCCGATCAGCGAGGACCAGGCCAGGCCACGCGTTTTGCCACTGCTTTTCCTGCGGCACAGCGTGTCCGTGGCAAATCGCAGGCTCCGACACAGACAGAGACACATCCCCCAGAGGAGTTTGACCAAGAGCAGGAGGTGGGGTTGACGAACGCTGGCAAAGTGGCTGGCATGTGACGGCATGTGCGTGCCTTGGAGGACCAGAAAAGGAGGCTGGATTCTAGAACAGCCTCTTGGCTGCACCACCGCGCGCTCCAAGTTTTCTGATGCAAACCTTGCGGGTATCAGGAGCTGCCGTGTAAGACTTCTTATGGCAACATTCCCACGCTGGCCCTGGTCTGCTCAGCCCTCGAGCCCGAGCACCCCAATCGGTACCATTCCTGGCCCCATTAAGAGGAAGGCTCCCACACCAAGCAGGCCGATAAGGTGTAGATGCGATTTGGCCGCATAGCGCCAGCGAAAGGCAACCGAGATGGACCTCCGAACTCGAACCACACCCGGAGCGGCCGGAGCGGATCTCAGTGATAGCCTCGTGGCCTCGTGAGCTTTCGTTTGGTTCTAGCAGACTGCAAGCGTCTGGGCCACGGTGTACTGCATGCAGCCACGCACTGGTCAACTGTGCAGCCAGGACAACAACGAACGGACCAGGGTGTGTCTCAGATGCTCAAGTCGTCGAAGTTGGACCGGAGTCGTATGGACGAGAGCCAGGAAGGAGAGGGCTCATCATCTGACAGCGACGACGAAAATAGCAAGAGGTGACACGACCACTTAGTGCAAGTGGCCGAGATGAGATCACTTTGGTGCGTCCTGACAGTGACCTCATGTGGAAAATGCCAGTCTGCAGCAGTTGTGTTGATCAGCCTGTGATGACCCTTCGAGCTTCTTCACGGTTTGCTTCCAGTGGCCTTTGTTGCTGTATGCGCCTCGCCACTTCGGCCCATTGACACTGGAAGCATCCGAGTTCCGATGAGACTCAGAGTTCCGTCCTCCGTCACGCTGCCACCATCTGAATAAAAAAAGCCTATGCGAGTTGCCATGGTCCCATGGTGAAACCCTCAAAGTGCGCATGCCAAAGGGGCTGTCGCGAAGCAGCATCATCTAGGGGCTTTCATCGCAGTGCCGCTGAATGTTTGACTTCGATGCCCTCGACGAAGCTGATGCAAAGCTCCCTGGCTGCTGCCGGCACTGCCACTGCCTGAATCAGCATACACTTGAGTCAGGTTGCAGGAGAACATCCCAGGCTTCAACATTCAGGAATTCGATGGCACGGACACCAAGCTTGCAGGCCATGTTGAACCTCGGCTTGTTAAGTGGAGACAGCCAGCAAGCAAAATGGTGCATACTGTATCCTGTGACGCCTTGATTTGGTGTTGGCGCAGAATGCATTCCTTTATAGCATATCGCGCAACACCAAGTAATACAGCCCAACTACAAACAGACAGCACAAAGCGAAGTCAAGATTTGCCGCACCGAAGTGTAGAGGTTGAATGTTAATATAGGCAAATGTACCCGGATGTGACCAATGGAATACATACAATGCAGCGTAGCATAGTGTAGTATGTAGTACATGATGTATAGATTTCTTCTTCCCTAATATGTGATGTTGTGTTTATACTCTATTCCATCATACCGTAGCTTGCTGCACCTTACCGGACCTTACCTCACCACAAGCTTACCTCATCTGACCTAACCTGGTTGTTGCATTGCCTCGCCTGGCCGCTTCAGGACACCGCCCTCCTTCGAAGATCTGAGCAGGATCAGGCCACTGTTTGATTTTTCGTAGGTCAGACTGCAAAATGCTCATGTGAAAGCCTCGGTGCTTTGAGTCCCCTCTTCTTGTGGAGGATTCGACAAGTCTCAAGAGCGGCCCACGGCAAGGAGCCCAGCGATCGTCTTGCTCAGGCCCGCAGCTCCGATTTTCGTAGCCTGGGAGAGTCGTCTTTCATCTTCGTGTCTGCGGCTTCGTCCAGGCGGTCAGTGTGCATCAAGGAGCACCTTAGCCCCTCCGACCAGCGAGACGAGTGTGATGCTCCAAGCTCATCGAGTTGTCACGGAGATCTGCCATTGTTCGATGACCATGAGGCGTCTGCACGTGCGAACTTTCTTGCGTCTTGGCATGAGATGCAAACAGAGGAGTGAAGAGCTGACAAGCAATCTCGCAAGGTCCGTCGAGGCCATGATGCTTGGAGAGACCTGCGATACCAGGATGCTTTGGCTGATTTCAGCGAGGGAGCCAACCTGGAAGCGGATGAAGGCAAGTCGTTCATGTCACTACAGCTGAGATGCCCTGTGCCAATTGAAGTTCTATATGCCATGTATCAGGACCGTCATCTCTGTCGCTGCTCTGCCTTCGGTTCTGCTTGGGAGTGGACTTAGGCCCAGGGCTTCCAGTGCAGTATTTTCTAAATGACCGAAGGAAGGTGTAAGCTTCAGGCCGTGACTCGACAAGCGCAGGTGACCTTCGGGGCCACGAGGCTTGCAGAGCCATGGCGGAAGGCCTCAGCCAGCTCTGGTGTCTATGCAGAGAGAGGCAGGCCCGTCAACTGCGGATTCTAAGACCTCGGAAGTCCATGTGGGAGCCTGATGATCATGTCCAGTGGGCAGCTGAAGACATACAAATCTTTGATGGAAGCTGCAGCGTGGGGACTGGAGAGGATGTTGCTGAAGTTGGTTACCGCCTGCTCGTGAACCGGAAGCCAAGAGCAATTGAGAACACCCTGTTGATCTTATATCACGGTAATGGAGAAATTTGCGAAGACTACACCGACTGGGCAGACATCTATCGAGTCTTTCCTTGTAGCAGAGGGCTCAGAACTCCACGGTTGTTTGGCAACGATCTTCTCCAAGCCCTTTGGATGATGCATAGATGACTTGGGGATTCGAGGCATGTTGATTTTCGACTACCGCGGCTATGGCTGGCCAGCTTCTGAGTGGCTGAGGCCCGGAAGCGTTGTTGGCCCTGGAGAAAGTCAGGTCATCGGGAAGGCCGACCATGGCCAACTTGCTCAGCGACGCGGAGCAATGCATGCAGAAGCTGCCAGAGATTCTCCAAGAGTCCTTGACCCAGTAACGGAGAAGAGTCGAGTCACGAGTCTTTTTGCGTTTCTCAGTCTCCGGGTGAGGAAGGGCCTCGCCTGGCCCTGGCCAGCGCCGGTTTTGCTGCTCGGGCGCTCGCTGGGTAGCGCCGTGGCGACACATCTCCTCGGAACGATGGCAGAGACTTGGATCCGTTTTGCAAGGCTGGTGCAATGTAGTTGGAAGTGGCTTCGCCGCACAGCGGATGCTGTCCTAGAAATAGTGCCGATCGTGCTTGCATGTGCTTGCATCTCACCTGCTCTTCAAGCATAGGGTTTGGCCTGACCATGTTGCTTTGGTCTTGGTTCGGGTTCTTGCTGGGCAAATGAAGACGAAATTTTAACGACAGATCAATGGCACTTGTAAACCAACGGGCAGAATGCCGAACAAAGTCGCGACGTGGTGCACGGAGGACATAACGAGTCGGTGGGTTCTGACGGAAGAGGGTCAGTCGGCGTCGGTGTGCTGACAACAACCTGAGCCTTCGAAGGACAAGTTCGATGGGCTGATTCTCGACTCTGGATTCGCAACAAGTGGAGATGAGCGCTATGATCAGCTGCTGACATGGCTGGGTGACTCGCGCGAGCAAGCCGTGTCCAGAATGCAAGCCTGAGGGATTGTAAGTCCATGCTTGCACATTGGGACCAGACGCGCCTGCGTGCCCAGGCCACCATGTTCAAGGACTTGCGATGGAAATGACGGTGGACACATTCGGGCACACGCAGAATGGAACATAGAGGGGCAGGCAAGCAGAAGCCCAGACTGGTCCGAGCGTAAACGTTTTTTCGCGAAGGCATTAGAGGGATTAAAGGACATGCTTCTTGCAGCCGTGGCTGCCGCAAGCTCACATGTGAGTATGAAACTGGAAAAAACTCATGCACGTCAGAAGCACCTGTCGCATGAGAAATGTGTGAGTCAAAAATGACATGTTTTTCGCGCTGGACATTGAACATGCAAATGCGATAGCTACTGCATCTCGGTAGTTAAGCAATGGTGAGTTTACATTCACGGAAGTAGTGCTATTGCCTCTCGCAGATGAGTACAGCATGCGACGCAGGAGCTTTCGAAGGCGCTGCGAGCATCGCTACCACCCGGATGCAAACCGGGGCAGGCCCATCTCACGAAGGGGGCTGGGAGGGAATCCCCAAGAATGCAAGCGTTGAAGATCTGGGAAGGCAGATCTGCGGATCCTGGGAAGTGTGGACTTTCTTCGAGGATTTCGCGGGCCTGTGTTGTTGCTGCACGGAGAGCACGACTTCATAGCTGGAGCCCCAGGTCTTGAGCACGAGCGCGGAACATGCATCCTGGTGTCAGATTCCCTGTAAAAACAAGGTGCCTGTCGAACATGCCCAGAGGCACTACGATGCATCTGTGCACTCTAGTCAACGAGAGCTCGTGGTGCTGGATGCTGACCACAATACCCTTGCCGGAGCAGCTCAGCTTGGATGCCGGTTGGCTACTGGGCACTCGCTATTTGGGAGCTGCGACGATCTTGTTGCCCGAGGTTCCTGATTTCTGGAAGAAGCAAATGGCCTTTGCAAAGTGCATCGTGCACAAGAAAGCCAATGCGAACCAAAAGGTGTACTCGTAGGCCGCGGGGCTTTCTCGTGCTCAAGCTGCTTCTCTGGCACGAATGGGGGTGGCGGCGGTGGCCAGCAGCACTGCCGGACGCGAACCTGGATTCGTGGGTGTATTCCTGTCATTGCCATCAACTCGCAGGCAGGAGGCTTCAGTCTTCCTAGCAGATCCCCTGTGAGAGCAAAGATGCACGTGAGCCCTGCTTGCAGGTCTTTTCCAGGCTGGCTTGAGATGCTGCATTCACGGCCATGTAAGCAGCTCTTGGAAGACATGGGTCGTGAGCAAACGGGCTCTCCTAGAACGCGCAGGATCTGGCAGGCTGATGCGAGTGCAGTGCGACACTTTCTCTTAATATGGTGCGTTGCCGGCCTGCGTGGTCTACGAAAGATTTTGTCAGTCCCAGATCTGTCTGCGCTTAGTGGAACTTCACTCTTCCTGCGCCGACCAAATCCCATGGTGTGATCGATTGCAGCACGCACTGGCAGACTCTGTCCCCTGCCTTTGCTGGATGCAGCAATAAGCAGATCCAATGTTCGGCAAGCAGCTTGGGGATCTCATCTCAACCCTTCCGCACCTGCACACTCGTGCTCGAAGATTCCACCGGGTGTCTGCCTTAAATGCCTCGATCTTTGGCCGATGTGGGCCCAGGAGCAGCAGTAAGTAGGACGGAACACACCGCTTTGCGAGAGGAACTTCTCTTACAAGTACGTATCCAGTGGGGAGTATTGCTCGAAGTAGCAGTTCCAAGATCTTCGCAGAATCGTGTCGGCATGTCATGGACTCCAGCTGATGATGTCTTGGCCAGCTGCTGATTGTCATGGATGCCGGGTTGAGCTCGGCCGGCTGTGCCGTAACCCTCTGCATTGTTGTGGCCACTCATCAGAACGGTTAACGCTTAGCAGTTGCCCGATGTTACTGCCACTGTTCAATGCAACCTTCAAGAAAGAGAAGGCACAGAAGCTTCAGCCCTGGAGGTCAGCAGTGCATGTTGGTGGCTTCGTGATACGATGGTGCTGGCCGTCGCGATGACGCTGCTGAGGATGCTGTGCTGCAAAGGCTGGTCTCAATCTGCCAAGGTAGCAGACTTCCGCCGTGAGTCTTCTCGCAGGCCGTCGTGCCAGAGGACAGCTGACAGGTCTTGTTTTCCCCATCTGTGCTCCCGGGCTCAGTTTGGAGAAAGGCGGTTATGGTAGTTATGTTTGAAAGGAGTGATGTTGTCAGCAGCATAAATTTTTCTGAGGTGGAAGACTTGACGTCAGCCTCTGGAGCGGCTCTGCTCACCAGGATGCTTCAGCACGGAGAGCACCTGCCACATGACGTGGTTGTGACATCTGTGCGAAACCTACAGAAGAACGTACGAGATGGGGTCAAGGGCGACAAGGCTGTTCTGGAAGTCACCTACTCTGCGACCGTCGACCTGCCAACCCACTTCTTCTTAAAGTGCAATCTGCAAAGACTTGGTGCCATGCGTCTGTTGGTGGCGACATCCGACGTGTGCATGTGCGAAGCACTTTTCTATCATTACTTAGCGCCCGAGACCAAAGATTGTCTCCGAACTCCCACGTGCCACATGACAGCAAGCCCTCTCGTCCCGATGACTCCGACGACCCTCTTGTCAAACTCGTTGACCTAAGGCTACTTCGTTGACTTCAGCTCCACCACAGGCCACCGTAACTCGGCACGCCGAGCCCAGGAAGTGCATCTCTGGCAGGTGAGTTCTGCCTGCTGACGGAGGTCTTGGACTTTGGAGGGAAGCTTCTCCCTCTGAAGCATCGAATTCGGGACGCAGCAACAATGGAGGACATCGCAATTTCTTCCCTGTTCGTCGTGACCTGCCATTGTTCTGCAGGAGCAGCTCTTGTTCATAGAGACCGGTGCGAGACTGCATGCACGGTCTTGGTCCTGGATCGACAGCTGCAATGCTGTGCTGGAACAGATTCCCCGTTTTCACGACACACACCGAAACCGGTCAGCAGCTGGCAATCTGGCAGTTGTTTGCTTTCGCGTCCTCGTAGATCCTCGCGGAGTGGAAGCACCGTCTCGGCTCGGTGTGATCAGGCCAGATGTGGCTCCTTTGCATGGCCAGTGGTTGCATGGGCCTGAAGTACACAGTGCAGAAGACGGTGAAGGGCAAGCGCCTAAACCTCGAGTGGATGACGTGGAGCTGCCCCACCGAGTTGGTTGGAAAGGACAAGATGAGAATCATGATTCAGATTTTCGTAGCAGGTGTAGGCAGAGCTTAGGACCTTGGACGCTCTTGCTTCGAGTGCATGTGTGGTTGAAGCTTTTCAAGGGAAACCATCGTTTGCAGTCGCAGATGCTATCAGAACGTTCAGAAAGCCCCGACTGGTGTCAGGAGTGGCAGCTGATCTGGGACATGGCTGCTTGGCGTTCTTCTGGTTGGCTCTTAGGACTTTCACTTTTTGGGTTTCTATATATGAACCATAATAAGGGTGCTAAAGTTTAACTGTTAGGAGGGGTTCAGAAGTCAGCCAAGGCTGACATCCTCACAAGCCTGTCGCTTGAAAAGGACATGGTGTCTTTGCAGCAAGAAGTTTGCTCTGTGTTTTCCTGTCATTGTTTTCAGTGAAACGACGACGCAGCCACAGTGCATTTTTCAAGATGCTATGCGTGTGTGTGTGTGTGCACAAGAGAGGCAGCCTTTGGCCACAACGATCTCACCACCGACAATGCATTCTACTGGCAGGAGGATGGAGGTAAACGACTGTCAGTGGGGTTGTCGCTAGGCTGGCAAGCCAGGTTTGTCAGCAGCAGATCTTCCCTTCGCTGGTGCAAGTAAAGTGGCTGTCTGTGCATGGAGAGCTTCTCGAACTGTTTGAACCAAGTGCCGGTTCGTGCGAGGTTCGATTGGCAGCAAAGCTGTATGAACAACATTGGTCAAGAGTGGGCTTGGAATTGGCATTTTCTGGAGCCGGAATTCCTTGACAAGAACGAGGACAGCTTCAGCAGGCGCATGCAGGCACTAGCCTTGGATCGATGTGCCATCGACAGGAAGCCATGATCACGGCCGTGCTCTCGGCCTACTCCAAGCTGGGTCGATCCATCTCGCGCAAGAAATTCTTGAATCTTGGCCAAGTGTTGGCCGAGAACGGATCCCTGAGCCGAAGGAAGCGTTCGCCCAGGAGAGCCTACACCCTGGGGACAATTCAGATGTTTGTCTTCGGGGGCGGCGGCCTTCAGCTGCTCATGCCCTCAGACCGCAGAGTCGCAGACTTGCGGAGGATGGAGCCTTGCTTTGGCAACGGATTCATGTTCAGACGCGCTGTAACCCGAGGAAAGACTTGGAGGCAAAGGGGATCTTCCAGACGCTCGTTCCCAACGATCCGCGCAGTGGCCCCGATGGCCCTAGATCGGAGGATCAGCTCCGAGAGAACCTTGGCCAGAGGGAAGAGCGAACCCTGAGGATTCCCGTATTCCGCCCCGAAGCCTGCAAGCCAGAGCCATGTCAGGACCCTTACTGGAGCGGAGATGACACGGCGGACTTTCACCAACTGCTGTGGCCTGTTGGAGATGTTTGGATATAGTCGGATAGAGGAATCTGGACTTATGGGCACGTTGCTTTCCTCTTTAAACGCCACTTGCACTTGGGAAGAAGTCGCCTGGCTGAGGCAACATCATGCGACGACACAACTTCTACTCAGCCTGGCAGGACTGGAAACGGACCCGAGCATTGAATGACATGTAAAAAAGGAGGCACACGGGACTTGTGCAGATGTTGCTGACGTGTGCAGCAGGGCATGTTGTAGGCCTCCGGGTGGTCGAACGCAGCCATTTGGACTCAAGAAGGTGTCAAGGCAAGGCCTACGCCGCTACGCTTTACTAAGATCCTCGATCCGGCGCTGCAGCATGTGGCTAGTGGCTTGGGCCAGCACCAGCTTTTGCAGGGTTCTCGGCCCCCAAATGCATCAACCGAGGCCAGCGCTTGCCTAGTAATTAGTCTTCTGCCGCCTCTGGCGGCAGGCCAGGGCTGCAGGGCTGCAGGGCTGCAGGGCTGTGCCTTCAGAGTCACGACGTGTGACCGAGTTCATTCCACAGGAGATCTGCTTGTCCCATCGCAGTCTGCAACCTGTCCACGAAGCAGTGGGAGTGTCTTCATGCAGTTACTTGGCTGCGTAAAGCACTTTTCATGACCTCCAGACATCGTTCTAGCCATCAGCGGTGCAGCAACGGGAGACCGAAGAAGGCTTCATCTCACGAGCGTCAGGTATCGTTCAACTTCGAGGCTGACCGCTGCTTTCGAGCACTCAGCTTCCTGGGTTGCCTCAGCCTTCGGGGACTGCACTCGCATCTGCCCTGAGTCTCTCAAAGTTCCACGTCCTAATCTGGCTTTCCAGCAGCGGCATTTGACTTGCAATTCGACTTCTGGCGACCCCTTGCCCGATGTGGCTTGCGAGCACCTCTTCAAACCGAGACGGTTCAGGCTCCGCTGTGGGCTGTGGGACGCAGTGCCCGGGTGACAGCACAAAGAGACGGTGAAGTTTCCCAGTTCGCGCCAGGCGCTGCCACTGTGGTGTCATCGGCTGCACGGACGGCTGCAAGTCAATCGATGAAGTGGAGGACGAGATTGAAGGGAGTCCCTGAGCTGGAAAGCTTTGATGGAGTGCGCCGGGTAGGGCACTCCTCAGCTGGAGGTGACGACACAGATGCCCAAGCGGAGCATGACACTGACTTTGAATGTGTTGGCTGCTTCGCCGCAGGCCGTGCTCCTGCGTGGGCTGCCTTGATGTTTCGAATTCGCCTTCATGCCAGGAGACGAGGGAACTTCGCAAGATGGAGCCGATGAGACCTGCATCGACTGGGCACAGGAGCTGCAACAGCGACGGGAAATGCAACTAGTAGTGTGCGCGGCAAGCAGTGCAGGCTCCGAATTGCCCGTTGCAGGATGCACCTTGCCGTGGTGGTATGCCGTGTCTTGCCTGCAGCTTCAAAATCTAAAGTTCTAGAATGAAGCAGCCGCGACGAGCAACACGAGAAAGGTTCTACCGCATGCACTCCAACGAGCTTACAGCATCCTTGTGCCGGAGCTTGACTTGGGATTTCTTGCATCATCGAATCATTTTGCAGCAGTGGCTACGGAGTCGGCGCGTCCGCACCGTCTGCAGGCTTCCGCCGAATCTCCCTCTCTCGTTGATCTTTCCCTCACGCGCCCGCCCCACTCCTCTCTCGCTCTCGTCTCGCTCTCGCTCTCTGTCTCTCGCTCTCTCCCCGTCTCTGTCTTTCTCTGTCTTTCTCTGTCTGTCTCTGTCTCTCTCTGTCTCTGTCTCTCTCCGTCTCTCTCCGTCTCTCTTTGTCTGCCTCTCTCTCCCTCGCTCTCTCTCTGTTTCTCTCTGTTTGTCTCTGTCTCTCACTCTCTCTCTCTGTCTCTCTCTCTCTCTCTCGCTCGCTCTGTCTCCCTTCTTCTCGCGCCTGTAGCTGATGTGAAGTGTGGAGCCCTGGATGTCCTATGCCGGCCCTCCTCGATCCGCGGCGGGACTTCCTGCAGTTGCAATTCCTCCCCCGTCTGTGTGTTGTCGGCAGTGCGCTAGCTTTCGCCAATGTGTGCTCTCAGGCCTACCCCAGCCAACAGCACGGTGAATTTACACAAACAGCCAACCCGGCGAGCACCAGTCAGTGCATGTTTGTATCCACGTGCCCGACAATACCTACAGCTTGCTGCCTTGCTGCGATTTGACAACTGCGCGATGGTTTGCAATGGGCTTTGTCTCCTTTGATGAATGGCTGCCGGTGCCAACTTAGCGAGCAAACTTTTGGTGACACACACACACGCACGAACGAACTCAAGTGCGGCAGGCCCTGTGCGACACTTCCCTTCAACCCATATCGCAGGCCTCAAGAAGACGTTCATTCCTTTCTTGCCCGTCTCGCCAGGTGCTTCGAGTTCTGCATCAGCCAAGGCTTGGACTTGTTTGCTCTGGTTGAAAACGACGAATGCCGGTGTGGAGCAACTCGACTAAACACGGCAGTCTGGGGAGCAAATCCTCGGCCTGGACTCATGTTGCCAGCTCCGCTGAGTGATTGCGTGACTGGGGACACATGCCCCATGCGAGTGTATCGATGGCTGGGTCCTTTCGAAAGTGGCGGGTCTGTCCGAGCACGGCTTCTGAAGCCGAATGCAGCTGCAACGGCTTACGTTGACTCAGTGGTTGCGGGCAGGCGACTTACACCAGCACAAGAAGAGGATGGCATTCCACTGGACGGTGACACCGATGACGATGTGGCGGCATCCCTCGTGCAAGGCGGAACAGGCAATCCGATGTGGGAGCGACCTTGCAACGACAACCCAGGCTGCCAGGCCGGCAGGCCTTGGATCGAGCGCACGACCCAGGCACCGGAGGGTATGATTCCACAGTGGGAAGAGTACGTGATCGTGCGGTACAAGTTCGACACAGACGTTGATGACGTTCGGAAGGAGGCTCTCATGTACCACCCAAACCTATTCTAAGTCTTAAGGCCCTCTAGAATCTAGAACCCTTGAAAGAGCCCGATAAGTCGCCAGGCTTTCAGAGCTGCAGCCGCAGACTGGCGCACGCACACGTGTGTCGGGGTCATTGAGGATGACGCTGCTTCCAACCCCTACTATCTCATTGGCATCTACGACACTGGCAGCTGCTGGTCCAACTTAGGCAGGCCTTGGAGCTATGGCAGGATCAATCTGGGATGGTGTAAGAACATGAACCACAAGGGTAGCATGATCCACGAACTGGGACACTGCCGCTTGGCTGGGCTGCTTTGCGGGGTCATGTGCGAGTGTTGTTGTGTTTTGGGGCATGTCATGCTTGTCGAAACTCCACATCCCCTTGAGAAGCTTTAAGGCCTGGGGTTAAACCATGAGCAGAAGCGGGCAGACGCACAAGCGGAGTATTATGGAAAGGGCCCCGCCTTGCAGATGTATTGGGAGAACGTTGACAGCCGCTGGGTGTCTCAGTACCTTCCTTCTGAGAGAACCTACATCGGCTCTGCGGACGACGGTGGAGCGGATCCGCAAATTGGCCATGCGACTTACGACTATGACCCTGGTCCGAACAATACTTCAGGTGACTGCTAATGATAATGCTAATGCTTCGCGCCGGCCGCCTCGGCCTGGCCGAGCCGGGACTCAAGCAACTAAGGGGGGTGGGCGGACAAAATGAGGGTTTAGGGACTGTGACCAGAGCTCCCGCCAAGAACATCTGGACGCCGGCCCGCCAAGGCGAGTTTGTTGAGCCCCTAGCTGAGTTCATTCTTGTGCCCCAGATTTTCCCAGTCGCTTCCAAGGAGAGTATCATGCACTACTACCGCCAGAGAAGCAAAAATCGCACAATTGCGAACGGGTACTACTTCGATGCCGTTCCTACATCAAACAACAAACTGGTGGGAAATCGGGACCACTTGTCGGAAGGTGACATTAAGCAGGTGTTGGATGCCTATCGATGCCGGCTGCGCCCTGAGAAACTCTGATGCTTATAGTGAGGGTTGATCACTGGGCGCAGAGAGAGAGAGAGAGAGAGATCTCACTTGACCGTCCCCCATGCCCAGGAGAGAGAGAGAGAGAGAGGGAGCTTCTCCCCTCTCCCTCAACCCTTGAGAAAGAAAGAGAGAGAGAGAGAGAGAGAGAGAGAGAAAGAGAGAGAGAGAGAGAGCGAGAGAGAGAGAGAGAGATCCGGGGCATAGAACGGGGCGCACACGCGTGCGGTGGGGAGGCAACTCTCCACCACAGCCCTAGCGAAAGAAAGAATGTCGCGGTATTTATTTCCCTTCTGAAAAAAGAGAGACAAGCATGGAACGAGGGAGCGAGATGGACTCAGAGGGAAGGCGAAGCACACGATGAAGAAGAGAGTGTGCCGCCCTTCACTTCCTGCAAACTGTGAGCCTCCGGCTGAAAGCTTCCTCAACCTCAAGGACGAGAAAAAAAGAGAGAGCAGTAGGGTGTTTGTGTGTGGGAGAAGGAGCATTCTGCGGAGTCTTGAGAGGCCGATCGGTGCCACGACTGCGACTACAACGATCGCTACGACGACCCCCGCACCTACAACCACAACGACAACAACAACGACCACCACGACGACCACCCCCACGACGACAACCCCGCCGCCGCCACCGACGACCACCACCACCACTACGACGACAATTACCGAAGCAGCGACCACGACCTCGGTGGCCGCTAGCACCTCTGCAGGAACCACATCGCAAGGTCCCTCGACCACGCAGGCAGGTGGCTATTCCAATCTCGAAGTTGGCGAGATTCTTTTAGCAGGCCAGGCCAGGGCAGCAGCTTGTCAAGCAGCATGTGGACTTCCCAGTGTCGTGTGTATACTTGTCAGCCAGTTGCTCCCTTTCAGGCGACAGTCAGGGATGGCAGAGCTTTTCTTTCCAGAGATCTTTTGCCCAGCCGCCCGTCGTTGTGGTACTGCCAGTGGTGACCGACGGAGAGACAACCCCAAGAAGTGTGCGGATTAGATCCGTGTCCACGTCAAGTTTTGAGGCTCTCATTGTGATACCGCCAGGGGCGACCAGCAGCCGACCGGACATGACGGTGTCCTACATGGCTGTGCTTCCAGGAGCGCATGTGCTGCCGGATGGCCGAAAAGTTGAGGCCGGGCTCAAGGAGACATCGGCCAGACAAGTTGGCAAATCGTGCAAGGCTTCGGGAGTTGCTGCGAGCTGGGACAAGATCAGCTTCAACACGCAGTTCTCCTCTAAGCCAGCAGTCGTCGCGAATCTGCAGACCGCAAACAACGAACAAGGTGCTGTGCCACAATTCTTTTCCAAGCCCTGGCTTACACTGGCTTGTAAGGATGTGTCAGCGACTACAGTGTCCATCGCGCTGGACTCGGCAGAGACGTCGAAAGTTGGAGACGTCACGCAGACCGAAGAAGTCGGCTACGTTGCCATGGAAACCGGACAAGGCACATTTGCCACGGAGATTGGGGGTGCCCCGGTTTTCTACAGTGCAGTCTTGACAGGAAGTGTCGTGAAGGGTCTTGACGATGGAGCTGTGGAGGTGTCGCTGGCTACCGACATGATGACCGAGTCCCCACTTGTGGTGGGAAGCCAATCGTCGCGGAACGGTGAGAACGGGGGCTGGCTCAGAATGTCCTCCGCGTCCGGCTCCTCAGTGCAACTGGTCATAGACGAGGATATCTATTGTGACAGTGAGCGCAAACACATTGAGGAAGCAGCAAGTATCCTCGCCTGGTCGAGGGTTTTCTCCATGGGCTCGTCGACTCCCATCACCACGACGACGACAACGACGACCACAACCACGACCACGACCACGACAACCACAACCACAACGACCACAACGACCACAACCACAACGACCACAACGACCACAACAACCACAACGACCACAACGACCACTACAACCACAACGACCACTACGACCACCACAACCACGACGACCACAACGACGACAACGACCACAACGACCACAACGACCACTACCACTACAACAACAACGACTCCGGCAGGGACTACAACGACAAGAACCCTGGCTGCTGCACCAAGCTTGGAAGTGGGCGAGGTGACGGTGCGAAGCGGGGAATGGACCAGCTTTTCATTCAGTGCAGCCTTTGCCGAAAAGCCGGTTGTTGTGATTGCAGTCTCTGGAGAAGGTGATGGGCCTGCAGCTATCCGCCTGCAAGGCATCAGTAATATTGGCTTCCAAGCCATCGTTGCTACGCCACCGGAGACAGGCAGCGTGGTCAGTCAGATGACTGTCACCTTCGTGGCCATGCCCCCAGGCATCGCTCAGCTCCCAGGCGAGGTCGGGGCCCGGAAGCTTTGGGCTTTCTTGCGTTTTTTTTTGACCTGTTGCTGACTCTTGTTTCTTGGGGGGGGGAGGTAGTGGCCTATGGCTGGAAGCCGGCCGCGATGCGACCTCGAAGCTCGTCGGGCCCCAAGCTCCTGCTGCGGGCGCTATAGGACCGGTTTTTGGCCGGAGCAAAGCCCGAGGCAGCCAGCAAGAAGTGCCGGCCTGCAGGACTTAGAGCACAGACAGCCTTCCTTTTGGTCACTGTCGTTCAGCTTTGGTATAGTGAGGAGGACTTCAGACGTCTTGGCACAAAGTCAACTTCCAGCACAAGTTCCCGGAGAAGCCCGCTTTTCTCACAACGATCCAGACAAGGAACAACGAAGCCGGGCTGCCGGCCTTGGACTCCCAGCCCTGGTTCACTGCGACTTGGCTTGAAGGCTTCGCGGTGTGAACAAGCAACTTCCTGTCTGGAAGCTCAGGTGGGGGTCAACAGCGTGAATCCTACGGATGCTTGGGTGCTGCACTCAGACCTGTCTCCTGACCCTTCACCGCCCTCTACCTGCAGCCAGTCTGGAAAGTCTGGTCTCAGGTCGCCTTGGAGATGGCGGAGACGTCAGAGCACGGAGGCTCGAGCATCCAGGACGAGGAGGTTGGATGGATCGCCGTTCAGCAAGGTGCGCACTCCATCCAGGCTGCTACAGGCGGGGTACTTCACAGCTGGCATCTAGCATGAAGCTTACTGTAGGCAAGATAAGCTCAGAGCTCTGCGAGGTCAAACGATTCAATGCGCATCTGTCTATTCTACACGAAGCGTGCCTGGTTGGCAAAATGGCGGGGCCACAGTTCCACTTGGTACGGACATCGGAAGCACGAGTCCCCTGGTGGTCGCAAGCCAATCGAAAAGGTGGGGAGGTGACGGCGGCTGGGTACGAGTTCTGGGAGCCACCAGCTCCTCTGTTCACGTTGCCATCGACGAAGACAGGAACTGCGATACTGAAAGAAAGCACACCAACGAGGAAGTAAGCGTCCTTGCCTTCTCCGACCGGTGCGTCATCTGACGTGCTGAAGAAGCAGAATTCAGTTGATGGACCTGGATTTACTGAGCGGGAACCATCTGCTCACATCCAGTGGTCCAATGCACCCTAGTTTTGTGGCACGAGGGTGGCTAACGGGCCGAAGCGTCATCAAATTGACGGTTTCGCGCGCAGTCGTTGTGACTAGAAACGTTCGACATAACCAACACCTTATGGTCAGAAGGTTTCAGGTTAGCTCCAAGTTCCCTTGCTGCTTAGCTGCGCAGTGTGCCTCCCGCGCACCAGCCGTGGTTGTCTAGGGTCCCGTGGCCAAAAAACCCCGTCGCCCATTTGAAGCTCTTGCCTAGTCTGATTTCGGGGTCATTGCCATCCGCAATACAGCCCGCAGTAAGGCTTCTTTCCGAGCGCCATGCACGCAGCGACATGGACTAGGTTTGGGCACAGCGTGTGATTTATCTGGGCCATGTGAAAGCAAGCCTGTCTGCGAAGTGGATGGTGTGATCTTCGGGACATCGCATGTACAGGCAATGCTTCTGCCGTTCGACTGCATCCTTCAGAGCACTATCACTATCTAAAGTTCTACAAGTCGGACACTGAATGGTGTTCTCCAGATCAGGCTTCCCAGGTGACCATCCGGTTTCCGACAGGTCGTCCACAGTGCTGCTGCCATAGAGCCGGTGAGCTCAGCCGAATGCTTACCCTACCCTAGTGGAACGCTAGGCTGTTCGGTCACAAGGCCGTTCTCCGCGATCTCTTTGTTTGTCCGGATGTCCCAAGGCACCTGTTGGCATCCGATTACTTGCACATCTGCGTAGCTTCGTTGGAACTCAATCAGACATCTGCAGACCGGTTCAGCAGCTCAACGAGACAACGACTTTTCTTACATCGGCGAGAATAGAATAGGTCTGGCTTGTGGTGTGTGATGCAGTCATGACACAGGTGACTAACTCGATCCACTCAGCTCCAGCTCAGCCCAAAGCAAAAAACACGGGTCCCTGAAGCAAGTTGTAACTTTTCCCCAGCAGAGATCGGCGCCTGCAGGCTTTGTCTATTTCACGATCTGGCCAGTTTGGGTGTTTGTGCCCCGAAGGCTTTCGCTCGGGCCATGCAGGACTACCAAGCACTTCCTAGTGATGACGAGATCGATGCTTTCACGGGGAAGGCATTTTGCAGCTTGCCGCTGCCTGCCCTTTTGATTGGGTTTGTCAAGTGTTTGTCAGATGACTCACAGTGTAGGTGAGCCGTGCAGCCACATAGAGAATTGCGTGAATCGAGGTTGCTGCTCTTGTCAATCGCTCCGTTCTTTGGCGCCTATGCTCTTCTGGCAGATGCAGTTCTGCATGCAGCCAGCACAATCCAGCAAATATAACCTGCAAGCCTGGAGAATGTGCCGGCGCACTGAGGCAAAGAAGGACTGGCCGATTCTGCTGTATGGTGCCGGGGGCTGGTGGCTTGCTCTGCTGATGCGCGTTCCCGTGGTCCTTGGTACGAAGGCCTGTTGCTGGTTGCTTGACCACCACGCTGTAGGGATCCGGACATTATTGACTGCAGGCTCTCTTGGCTGACTCAGCGTCACAGCAGTCATGGCTGCAGCTCATCACAACTCTCGTGTCCGGGCCGGCAGAGGCAGAAACTCTTCAGGTCTTCGACAAGCAAGTTGGATCACATGGATGCCCCGTTTCCAGGAAAGTGTACGGGTGACAATGCTCTTCACCTTCGGCTGGGCCGCCCGCTTTGATGCGACCTTTGCCTTAGGCCGAGCAGTGAGCAGCTGGGGTCGTGTTGTTTTTTAGGCCCCTCAGCCGTTAAAGCTAAGCCCGGAACAATTTCATCCTCCTTGTATGCTTTGTTGGCAGGTTTGGGCTGGACGGCCTTGGAGCTGGTCTTCACTTGTGTGCAGTCGCTTGCGGCGATGCAGCTCCTCAAGGCGGCAAAGTCCGGGAAGGATCCAAAGGCGGTCGAAGCGACTCGGGCTCTCCAAAGCTATGAACTTTTCTTAAGGACCCGCCACCATGTCCACCACTTTAAGGCATTTCACCAACTCGTTGCGCAAAGTGGGCGAGACGATCCATTGAGTTTGCACCCGGCATGGGGCATCCTTGGCTGCACTGGTGCACGCACGCACAATCAGCACATGACTTCTTCTACACAGGCTTTTCAGTTTGGATTTGATTGCATTGCACGTGTCAAGTGCGGGGTGGTCGTTCGAGTGTGCCAGAGGCGTCCTTGAGCGCTTCAGCGCTCACGAGCTCCACCTCGCGATGTCGCCTGTCTGCCCAAGCTCTTGTCTTGTAAAATGTGTCCTTGGTGTTCCTGGTGGAACGTGCAACGTGCACATCTGAAAGCTTTCCTAGGGAAGATCTTTTCTCACGTTGTCAGGGGGCTCCTGGGTGCGCTTTCCCCCTGGATGGTGTTGGGAACTTCGTGCATTCACTCTGCTGTCAATTGGTCCACCGTGGCTGCCCTTCGCACGCACGGCCCAGTCATCGCAGAACCCTGTCTTGAATCTTTGGGTGCCGGGTATCTATCATGTTTTGCACAAATTTCTTGCTGAGGTCGTGTGCCTGCCTGTGTGTGAGTGATAGCCAAGGAAGTTGGCCTGTTCATATTTGCCTCTGTACTGCTTCTGGCGGCACTAGGCATGTGGAGCCATTTGCGGCCCTGATCATCGAGAAAGACCTCTGCCTTAAGTTCGATGGCCGGTCCAACAGCGCACTGCCAGCTAGCATCGGCAGTCATTGGCCATGCAGAAAGGGTCACAGACCCAGTCCATTCAACACTTGTAAAGAGAAGCATGCACATCCGCACGACTTGCCGCTGCCATTTGTCACTTCCCCACAGGCCCAGCCAAGAAAGGATTACCCAAAATAGCCACCAACACCTGCGAGCTGTACTCAGATCTTTTGTTCGACATAATGTGCTGCCGTGCAGAGCCACATCATCTTCTCAGGATTGATAGCCTCATAGCCTACCCCTATGCAAGCTGTGCAGCCTCCCAAAGATCACGGAGTGTTGCGCAGTAGGATTTCCTGATGAAAAAGCGGGCGGAGGCTTGCGGTTTCGGTGGTTGATGTTTCTGTATCTTACTCACTCATCGCTGCTATTGACTGGCTAGGCCCGGTTACAGGGCCTCGGGCGCACAGTTGTAATAGATGCCCGTAGCTCAGTGAACCTCGAAACTGCAGCTCAACAGTCGGTCATTTCATCGTGCGGCGGTATGCCCAAGGTCGGCAGCGGGATTTGCAAAGCTGGAATTGCTGGCGAGGTCGTAGCAGAAGTGCTCTGCAAGCCCATACTGCTTGCGCTACCTCCTGCAGGAGGAGCCAAGCTGCAGATTCCCCTCGATCATTGGCAGACCGAAGCAAGCTCTTGCCTTGAAAATCAAGAGTTTTAAGGCAGGATGCTGGAGATTGCAATTGTCACAGACTCAGGCCAACGTCATGCAGGGCTCTGGCGAGCAAGACCACTACATAGGACGTGGGACTGTTCACTATTGCAAGGGTTACCACCTTGATTTATGCTCTCCTTGCTGTCTTCTTGGAATCGCAGGAGAGGAAGCCCAAGCCAAGCGTGGCATCCTTGGGCTCAAGTCCTGTAGAATAACGTGTGGCAGCTGTGTCACAGCAGTAAGTTCATGTGATGTGGGACCAGGTGGCATCCTCAAGATATCGTATCCCGTTGAACATGGTATAGTGCAGGACCGGCATGACGGCCCTATGGCCCTGTATGCAGAGGGTTCAAGTACTGGCATATCATGGCACAGGACTGGGAGGACATGGAGCTCATTTGGAGGCATACCTTCTTCAATGAGCTGCGGGTTCAACCAACGGCCTTGACCTCAAACGCGGACTGCGGCAGCTGCTCCAATTACGAGTTTCTGTGTGAGGAGCAGGCCGTCTTGCTAGCCGAAGCTGCGCTGAACCCCAAGGTCCCGAGGATTCTAAGCGTGTGGGACGCCGTGCGGCGGGGTATCCGTGACTTCATTTTTCTCCGTGAGGCCAATCGTGAACGGATGACGCAGATCATGTTTGAGGTCGCGTGTGAGACGGAGCTCGCTTGAGATGCTGTTGTCGCTTTGTGAGGTGTTCTACGTGCCTGCCTTGCGCCATGGTCGCAGTGACTGCATTGTTGTGCCACTGCCTAGCTGCACTTTTTGTGGACGGGCGTTTGACCAAGGTATATAACGACTCAGGCGGTGCTCGCCATGTATTCGTCTGGCAGAACAACCGGGACATCCGCAGTCCTTATGTGGTCGCAGGTCCATAACTTACCGCAGCGTTTTGTGGGAAGCAAGACACGTGTGATCACGTGTGTCTAGCAGAAATGGGCTGGTGACTCACGCCTGCCAACAAGAGAAGGCACCAAAGTCACAGTTCGGCTTCAGCTGCGACCTCCAAACGAACACAAAGGAACAAGAGATTACAAGAGCACTCGCGGATTGACTGCGGCATCCCTCTCGTATTTATTGTTGACGGCAGTCGGGATGTACATGTCCAAGACTTGCCACCACCTAGCCACACCCTGTGTCCCAGTAAGCAACAGATCTTCAGGCTTACGACTCTGCTTCGCCAACTCGTGCTTGCTTTGTGTGAGGTGCGGTAGGATATCGCCTTGCGAGGACGATTGCACAAGTCTATGCCCCTAAACCTAACTAATCAGCCTCCCTCCTTCCCAACCCCTCTATTCCTGTCCTTGACGAAGTTGCCGTTGCAGCCGCGAAAACCGGAGAATCTACACAACTCGTGGTAACTTATGTGCATGCGTGACCTTGTGTCCCCTCATGGAACTGTAAGTCGCTGTGATCATATTTCCTTCCTTCGCAGGATTGTGTGCGACAGTGGAGATGGTGTCACGCACGTGGTGCCTGTGTACGAGGCAAGTCCCAAGGATCTCGCACGTAAACGGAGAGCCAGAAGCAAAGTCAAAGTCATCAGGGCTTCCTGCTGCCGCATGCCGTCTCTCGCGCTGACTTGGCGGGCAGAGACTTGACAGAGTGCCCTTGAGGTTCTCAAGGTTAGGGCCTG